TTTTAAATATTTTTAACTCTACTAATGCTTGAAGGAAAAAGAATTCAATATTTTTTAATCAACGCTTATAAAAATATTAAATATTTTATTTCAAAAAATCTTAAAATGGCAATCTTTAAAAATCTAGCAGTCTATAAACAAATATTTTTAAAAAAAATTCACACTTATGGGATTTATTCAAAAAAAAAAAAAAAAAATTATCCACGCTTGTGGCAGTCCTTCAAAAAATATTATTTTTTAAATGTTATTCTACGTTAGTCCTTCTTCGAACCTTTTACATTTTTATATTTTCATAATTAATTTTTTATTTACAAAACGTCTAAGCCGAATTAAACTTGACAGCATTTCCCCTAATTTAATATATCAAGCAGTTGATTTTAATCTCTCATGAGGGCAGCCAAGCGTCACATTAAACTACCATCTCACTCCCTCCTCCCACCTTACAACCTGCTACTTGCAATAACCTGTCATTGTTCATTACAATCACTTTTCCACATGGCCCTTATGGACTCGTTATTTTGACATTAAATTTAATCTAAAGGTGAAATGTATTCCCTTGAGGTAAGGAAAAACAACAACAGCATCACTCAGCGGTAAAACAATATGACCTGGCAGCGCAACTTTGTAAAACTCTTCACAAATGGATTGAAGAAGAAATAAAATAAAACTGAACACAATATTGTAAGATAAATATGGCCTTGTTAAACTTCTTAAGTAAACAGCTGTTGTTATTACCAACAAAATACTGGCTGGCTGGCTGCGACTACTGCTGCTTTGGAAATTACAATCAAAGTATAGAAAAACCATTCACCTTATAACAGAACAGGGGAGCACAGCCGCCAAGGACCGACCAAGAGAATACATCTTCGACTTTGGCTCCGTGTTGGCGTTTGGTCATGTTACGCTTAATTAATTATGATTCTGTTCAGTTTTTTAACCTCATTTCGCCAATCACCAATCTCCTCCCCCGTTGCTGCTGCTGTATAACTTCATGGCCAAGTGTGCGACTGCTTCAAAATATACACCACCTCTAATACGTACACGTATACACACACATACAATAACAAAGTTCAATGAAAAGTTTGATTGTTGTTGATGTTGATTCTAGTGTCTGATGGATGAAGAGCCTGCTTGAATTTAATTTCAACTGTTGTGAAGTCAAATGGAAAGTAAAAAAAAATGTTTCAAATTCACCAGCAACAATTGTTGCCAAAGCAATGTTGATAAAGTTGAAGGTGGCCAGGAAATCAAGTTTCAGAAAAAAGTTCATGCCAGCCAGGACGTAATTGAAAATAAGTTATTTGTTGCTATCATTTTGCAGTTAAACAAAAGGAAATTAAGAAACTGTATTTTTAGACTTTATTATAAAGAAGCTGGTAAATGGGAGAGCACATGAAATAAGAGAACACATGAAATAATTGTAAGTAGACTGAATTTGTATGGAATTGAATAGGTTATGAGACTAGCAATCTAAAATAAATATTGATTAAAAATCCCGTACAATACAAGTCATTCCATTTTTTTTTTTTTAATTCAGTCTTTCAAAAAATATATTTGATTTAAAATCCAGGTTTTTTATACATGTTATGTTAAATATATTTTTAGGTGTGTATGTGCCGAATTTTAATTAAAAACGTACTTTTTTTAAAGCAAACAAATTTCCTTTGAATAAAAAAGTTGATTATTTTAATGACCTTGATTTGTGTGTTTATGTCGCTTTTCTTTAGTTTTTCTTCGTTTTCCCCCAACCCACCAACCTCAACACATGCCCTTTCTAAGATGTTAATTTCCCTTTCTAATGTTATTTTTTCATAGATTTCTTCATAATGTTTTTGTTTTCTACCCTCCCGTGCCAAAAGTAAAATCTTCAGTAACTTGTACAGCCAGGAAAAAGTAGACATTGTTGTAATGGCAATTATCATTAAATGTTATTGCAACACGTAAAATTTTTTTTATGATTTTTATTAGCGCTCGACATGTAACTAAGAAATTTTTTATTAATAAAATATACGAAGAAAAAACTTTAAAGTCAAATTGTTTTACAAAGTAATTTATAATGAAGTGGATTATGTTTAGATATGCTGGAGGAGGAAATATGAGGATGATAATAGATATGGCAAAATTTTGTAAAAACTATTTTTGAAGGACTTTTAAAACGATTTGTCATATTTTATGAAATATTTTCTACGGGATCGACTTTATAGAGGTTTTTTCAGATCTTCTTCAATAGTATGTTTGTTTTAAGGACTTCCAAAAGCATAGATTATTTAACATCTTTTTTAAGTCTCTGATAAGCGAAGAGCTTTAAAAGATTATTTTAAAGATTAACACCAAGCCTAGATTTAACAAAATCAAGGATCAACACAAATAGTGAATTTTTTAAAGGTATATTATGGATTTTTTAAAGAATATGTTTTCAAGGACTATTACAATCAGTATAAAAGCGAAGTTCTTCTACCTCAGTCTCATTTGCGCCCATGCTCCGACCGAAGATAAAGGTGAACAGACCAAAGACATATTTTACGAGCGCCTAGAAACAGCATATGACCGCTGCCCTGGCCATGACATTAAAATTCTGCTAGGAGATTTTAATGTAGAAATCGGAAGGAAAAATATTTATGTTCCCACCGTCGGAAAATTCAGACTGCATGAAGAAACATCCGACAACGGCATGAGGTTGATTGACTTCGCCGAAGCAAAAAACATGGTAGTTAGCAACACCAGGATCAAGTATCTCGATCCACCTGCATATCTCCTGATCAAGCAACGAGAAATCAAATTGATCATGTTCTGGTAGACGGAAGGCATGAATCCAGTGTATTAGACGTTCGATCGTTCCGAGGAGCGAATATCGATTCGGACCACTACCTTGTAGCAGTCAAGGTTTGCACTCGTCTTAATGTAGCAGCAAAGATGCGATATGTTGTAACACGGAAACTCGAAAAGATGCAAACACAACAGATAGCATAAGCCTACTCCGCTCAATTTACCCACCTGCTTGAAAGCACTTCTTGTCCCGATAATAGTATAGAAGCACAATGGAAAATAATTGCCCACTCCCTACAAACTGCAGCTAAAACAACACTTGGGTACCAAAGACCAAGATCCAGAAACAAGTGGCACGATATGTGCCAACTATAGAAGAATAAGTCTCCATCCCATCGCATAAAGAGTGCTATCCAGCGTACTGTGTGAACGACTGAAGCCAATGGTCAATGACATTACCATGCACTCTGCGCCAAATCCTGGAACAGACCCACGAAAAACACATCGACACATTCCACCTATTCGTCGACTATAAAGCCGCATTCGACAGCCCTATCCGTTCAGAGGTGTCTAAAACCATGTCTGCGTTTGGCATTCCTGCAAATTTAATACGGCTATGCAGGATAACTTTAACTGGCACAAGATCAGCCGTTAAAGTCGGAAAGGACCTCTCGGAGCTCTGTAATACCGAACGATTTCAGACAAGGTGACAGTTTGCCGTATGACCTTTTTAACATCCTGCTGGAAAAGGTCATACGAGAGGCAAAAGTGAACAGAAATGACACTCTGTACACCATACTACACATGTTACTCGCCTACGCCGATGACATCGACATAATGGGTCGAACACTGAGAGCGGTAACAGCCACCTTTGAACAAATTGAGAAGGAGTCTGCCAAAGTGGGTTTGGCAGTAAACGGCGAGAAGACCAAGCTGATGGTATCAACGCGCAGACTCGGACCAATTGTGGAAATTGAGAACTACAGATTCTAGGTAATCAACGGTTTTATATACCTTGGTACCGCCATAAACAATGGCCAACAGATGCTACTATGGTCTAAGTAAGCAGTTTAGAAACAAGGCCACCACCCGCCAGACCAAATTCACACTTTACAAGACGCTGATACTACCCGTGCTGTTATATGGATCTGAAGAATGTGTACTTGCCCAAGCAGATGAGGCAGCTCTTGGAGTGTTTAAGAGAAAAATTCTCTAAAAGATCTATGGGCCGATCTGCGTTGACGATGAATATGAGTGAATATGAGTCGAATGAACCATGAGTTGTACCAGATATTCTCGGACATCGACATTTTTAGACGTATTGAGCTGCATCATCGACTACGTTGGCTAGGTCATGTTGTGAGAATGGATGAAGATGCTCCAGCCAATGTTTTTCAAGGACTATTATAAGGATTGAATTTTTTAAAAAATATTTGGCATATATATTTTTTTATATACTAATTAAATTTTATTGTAGATCGTTTCCATTGTCTTTTCGTGTACTTGTTGTCAAAATATAACACAATTTACAAATAATAATAGTTCCATTGAAAATGCGTCTTAACACACAAATTTTGTTGCTTTTCAATTGCGGAACTACAATACTTGCATTGTTGTCTTAACGAACGAACGTATTTGTGATTTGCCATTGTTATTAATTCACGAAGTTTTGAAACAGTGCAATTAGTTCACACTCATTTGATCGCAATTTGAATAAAATAATTGAAGCGATAAATGGTGCTTCTGCTGCCACTGCTTCGGATTTCAAACAATGTACTCTGATGCGGCCCATAAACCAATGAATGAACGAACAAATGAATGAATGGATGAGCTGCTGAATGAATGTGAAAATAAATGAATAAAATGGAAATTCATTTTCCAAAAGTTTAAACACTATAGAATCACGTTCCCCCGCTTCGCAGAGAAATAAAGAATTTTAATTGAAATGGGAGATTTAATTGTGATGAGATTTTCATTGTTTAAATGAGAAAATTCAGCAATTTATGTTAAATGAATTGTTTGTTTGTTTCATTTGCAAACCACCATCAGCAACAAACGACAACAACAACAACAAAAATAATAATAATGGAAATGGCCATAGTTGAGGGAATTTGAAGGATTAAAGTTTTTTCGAAATGGTATTATGTGTTTGGTGTGTGGCAAAAAATAATTTTCAATTTTATTTTTATTTATTTTTGCTGTTTGGAAATTCTTAAATCTATTTTAATACTCACCTCAAAACTCACAATTCCCGTATGGTCCTGATCAAGTGTATTGAATACATAATGGGCATATAATGTTGGATTTGCTATTGGTTTCAACATCGACATCATCATCGTTATCAAAATTAAATCAGCCAAGTGGTTTAAAAAAAGATGAAATAGAAAAATTTCCAATTAAATTATGGCATATTTAAAAAAAAGTCGACTAACACACACAGTACATAGTTTTATATCAATCAATGATTTTACATAGATTATTAGTGATACAGTCAAAGGTGGTTATAGTCAATATGTTAGTATTTGTAATTGATTAAAAAATCAATTTAAATGATTATTATTTCTATAACCGGTATTAACATTATAACCACATTTACCTGTATATAAAATATTTTTATCAGTTAGTTATATAAACGAACACACACGCATACATCGAAATAAAACAGCATATTATTGTTATGTCATTATACATTTCATCATTTACATATAAACACAAAACTATTATCGGCAAAGCTCAAAAGCCGCTGCTACTGCTTTATTTGGTATCCTTTGAGGACGTTAGGCTAGAATTTGTAAAGCTGGATGATGACGATATGATGAGCTATATAAAGCGTTTGATTATTAAATTATATGATACGATTGCTTAGTTGTAGTTTCACTAGTGCTATAAGGTCCAGTCGATATTGATTTCAAATAAATCCTCCTTCTTAAACTTATATCTAATAAACAAATAAATCGGAATTTCCGACTTTTAGATGACCAACATCATTATTTCATTGAATTCACCGCTAAATAAAGCAATATAATCGGACGTGTCCTTTGGGTATCACATGACTAGAACTTTATTGGTAGTTTTCTAAAGACTAATAAGGCATATATTTTTTAAAGAATATTTTTTCAAAGACTAAAATAAGCGTGGATTTTTAATGAAAAGTGGATTTTTTAAAGATGAGTTTTTCAAGGACAGGATTAGCGTGGAATTTTTAAAGAATAGTTTTTCAAGGTCATGATATGTGTGGATGTTTCAAAGAATAGTTTTTCAAGGTCATGATATGTGTGGATGTTTCAAAGAATAGTTTTCAAGGACAGGATAAGTGTCGATTTTTTAAAAGCATATTTTTTCAAGAAATAGAATAGGCGTGGTTTTTTAAGGAATATTTTTTCAAGAACTATACCATAAGACGTGGATTTTTTAAAGAATATTTTAAAGGACTAAACTTAGCGTGGATTTTTAAAAGGGTGTTTTTTCAAGGACTAGAATAAGCGTGGATTTTTTAAAAGAAATGTTTTTCAAGGGCCAGAATAAGAGTGGATTTTTTAATAGAATATTTTTTCAAGGACCAGAATAAGCAAACAAATATTTTTTCAGGGACCAGAATAAGCGTGAATTTTTTTCAAGGACTAGCCATATGGCGTGGATTTTTTCAAGGACTAGCCATAATGCGTAGATTTTTTCAAGAATATTTATTCAAGGACTGGAATAAGCTTGATTAGAATAAGCGTGGATTTTAAAAAATATTTTTTCAAGGACTATTCTAGTCCTTGAAATATTTTTTATTTTTTCCCCATATATATTTAAAATATTTAAATATTTTTTTTCAAGGACTGGTATAAGCGTGGATTTTAAAGAATATTTTTTCAAGGAATAGGACAAAAATATTTGTTACTACTAACCATAAGGCCTGCATTTTTCCAAACACTTGTTTTAGGACTAACCATAGGAACTGCATTTTTTCAAAATCATTTTTTAGGACTAATCATAAGGCCTGGATTTTTAAGACGTTTTAAGACTATCTATAAGGCGTGGATTCTTTTAAGACTATCCATAAGGGGTGGATTCTTTTAAGACTATCCATAAGGCGTGGATTCTTTTAAGACTATCCATAAGGAGTGGATTTTTAAAAAAAATATTTTTTAGAACTGTTGGAAACCCCTTTAGGTATTGGTTTTTCCTTTGGATAAGATCAGCTAACATATTCATATATTAGATCTTATCCCGATTTAAATATGAAAATCTGTTATTTTTTAATTAGATTTCTTAGATTTTTTTATGAGACATCGTTCGGATATTTTAGAAATTTTGTTGCATGGGGTGTTGATGGTTCTGAATCCCGCCATTTTGAGAGTTGCATTTTTGAGCCGATGTTGCTGTTCTTTTTCGGATACAGATCTCTCTTCAGTTAAGATATATTGGGCATATAACCCCATAGATAACCATGGCGCGCTATTCTAGACACATAGGAAGTTCGAGCCACTTTTTTAACAGAAGTGGCTGCAATTTCGAGTTCACAATGCATAAAATACAACTTTGTAGAAAAATTATAAATATAGGTCCTTGCTTTCACTTATCTCCCATATAAAGCTTCGGAGCCTAAATTAAGTATATACTCCCAAATTTAATACCAAGCATCAATTGTTAGTGTCTTTAATTTTATTAAAATTAGAATTTGAATTTCTACCACATGAGAGCGATGTTTCATATATATTTTTTATCATTTTTCCTATTCACTTAAATATATTTCATTCATTGGACTAATTCTCAACCTCCATTCGCAAACTTACATATTCCCTTCTTTACGTAATGATGTTGGGCATAATTAAATTCCATCGTTATATTTTTATAGTTCACATAACTTGCATCTTAAATTAATTTCATTTCAGATAAACTTAACCTACTTTTTTTGGGATACAAACAAAAAATAAACACAACATACAATAAATATATTTCTTATATTCTATTCTATTTCATTCTCTTCTCCTTCGTATTTTATTTTCATTATTTTGCAGGTAATAAAAATGTCATCATAATCAAATGAATATAAGTACCCTTATTACAAAATGAATACGGAAAAGCAGTCACTTCTCGGGTATGTAACCAAAGTTTTGCACATTGAAACATACATAGAAATATATATTTATATGTATAGAAATAGTTACATAAGTTGGCTGTACACTCATATGTATTGCCTATATATGGAGAATATCTTAACTAGGTACACTTAAGGCTGTTTTTTGTATACAATAAGGGACATACTCATGTGAGACACATGAAAAATATGACTTGGGATATATAGGTGTACACTCGAAGAAAAATAACATAAAAAAAAACAAATTGTTGTAGAATAGAACTCCTGGTCTTCTATAAGAAGGTTTTCTGGTCTTCTATAAGAAGACCTTCTGCTCTTCCATGAGAAGACCTTTGCTCTTCTATAGAAAGACCTTCTGGTTTTCTATAGAAAGACCTTCTGGTCTACTATAGAAAGACCTTCTGGTTTTACATAGAAAGACCTTCTGGTCTTCTATAGAAAGACCTTCTGGTCTTCTATAGAAAGACCTTCTGGTCTTCTATAGAAAGACCTTCTGGTCTTCTATAGAAAGACCTTCTGGTAAGAAGACCTTCTGGTCTTCTATAAGAAGAACTTCTGGTATTCTATAAGAAGACCTTCTGGTATTCTATAAGAAGACCTTCTGGTCTTCTATAAGAGGACCTTCAGGTCTCCAATAAGAAGACCTTCTGGTCTTCTATAAGAATACCTTCTGGTCTTATATAAGAAGACCTTCTGGTCTTCTATAAGAAGACCTTCTGGTGTTCTATAAGAAGACCTTCTGGTCTTCTATAAGATGACCTTCTGGTCTTTTATAAGGAGACCTTCTGGTCTTCTATAAGAAGACCTTCTGGTCTTTTATAAGGAGACCTTCTGGTCTTCTAAAAGAAGACCTCTGGTCTTCTAAAAGAAGGCCAAGTCGTTGAAAAGAAGACCTTCTATTCTTCAATAAGAAGACCTTCTGGTCTTCTATAAGAAGCCCTTCTTGTCTTCTATAAGAAGACCTTTTGGTCTTCTATAAGAAGCACTTCTGGTCTTCCATAAGAAGCCCTTCTGGTCTTCTATAAGAAGCCCTTCGGGTCTTCTATAAGAAGCCTTTCTGGTCTTCCATAGTAACACCTTCTGGTCTTTTATAATAAGACCTTCTGGTATTCTATAAGACTCTTTTGTTTTCTTGTCTTGAATTTTTATTTTTTTTTCACTTTTTGTGGGTGTAGGAAGCTCATTGACTCACTCTTGCCTCTTTTAAATTTATTTGTTTGCATGTCCTTTCGTTATATTTCTTTGATTGTTTGGTGGCATCCCCTCAACACACACTTGTATATCAACAAACAGCCACACACACATATATATATATATATATATAAGTGTATTTATTTTGACATTCTGGTGTTTTTTTCTTACTTCAAATATCTCTTTCTTCCTTTTGTCATATACTATATCTACATTTTCTTCGCCACCTCCTTCTCACACATTCTCCCTCCCACATAGGTTATTCTCAAGTATTGCATAATAACATTACTCTTACTGATGATGTTTCATTGCCCTAAGAACATCAGCGGATATCTTGAGTTTTGTATAGATACACTTGTACTACGAGTATGTTGATGATGATGTCGTCTTCGGTTCGATGTCTTCTGTATACGTGTCTTCGGGTATACCAAGAAGAAAAGGCTAGGACTAACATACATATATATCTTGGTAGAAATACATCATACGCATTCATAATCAGAGTACCATAAAAGATTTTCATTATAACTCATTCACATTCACTAGGAAACAACATCAAACACACATATACACCCATAGGTTGTCGACGTCACATGTATGGGTTTGTAGGGACTGTTGCAGAATATGTGAAGTACGTCTGTAAAGACATCACATTGTACATAATGAGATGAAGTACTTAATGTGGTTATTTTTGTTTTATTTTTCATGTGTGTGTGTGCGTTAATTTATAGATATAAAGAAATGGGTGTGTGTGGGGCAAAGAATATATGGTAGGAAATATAATGCATTTTCTTATAAAAATAACCTTTGCTAAATTATAATTTTGTAGGTCAGTAATTTGCTTTAAAATATAAGATGAATTATAGTTTAGGTTTTGTTTCATCTAGGTTATGAAACCACACATATTTCGTCAATGATGAATATATGTATAGAAGTTCGTGAGCGTTTGTCAAAACTTTATTAGGGACAGATGTTCAAGCATGCCAAATGCTAAAAAAATCTTTTCAATGGGATGACGCAATGCAACACTTGGA